GAACCGCGCGCGCGCGAGTCCGCCTGCTCGGAAATACAAATTTTTAGCATTTTCTATCTTTGGATCGACCCGGATGTTCCGGCGATATCGTCGAACATAGGGAAGCAAGTTGCCGCCTCCGGAAATATTTCCCGGAAATCGATCCACACGTCTGTGCATTTCTGCGGATAATTGTCGCGACGATTTCTGGAAAATCCGTTTAATTTTAGACGCCTCCGAAACAGTTGGAACATTTCCGTCGCGATGGCAGAAACTGTTTAGATTTAACGATTGATACGCTCACTCTTTACGGCGACTCCCTTGAAATTGACTTTTTCTCCCGAATTTTCTTTCGGACGTTTTATTCGGCTTAGTTTTTATTTATAGTATATTCAACTGTTATATGTATGTCTAAATATATATGCGTATTTAAATATTCATTATTTTTATACAGTACATTTAACTTCATAGCGGTCCAAGGTACACCGCGAGGGCTTTGCTCCGTTGAACTTTTAATCCTTTTCGATTTTTGTTCCATAACAGAGCGAAAATTTGCAGCTCCGCGGGGCTCGTCACGCTCCTTCGACTTTCGTGATTACGTTCGACATTTCCCGACCGGTCCGCACCCTGCATCCCCTAAACTCGTCGTCAGGCTTCATCTAACTTGCGAGAGCGACCATGCATGGCAAGCATGGCCGTTCCACGGCCACGTATAGCGTGCGCAATTATGAAACGAGAAAAGGTTATTNAAAGAGCGGAGCCATCTAATTCGGACCTAATTTCACGGAAGCGAGGCAACACAAATATTTTCCTCGCCGGAGGATATTCCGGCTAATACAGAGATCCCTTCGCCCTTATCGTTCCCCGGTCGTGTACAAGTGTTGTTTATCAGGCTCATGTCACTTATAGCGGCGCACGGGAAAGCCCGAAATTCGAGGTAATCACGCTCCCCTTGATCCCGAGATCGAGGAGGATCTTTCCACCCTCTTCTTCACGACTTTCGTCTTCTCGGCTTGTCGTCCGCTCTTGTACCTTCCCACGCTTCCCCGCCGACAACCCCCTCCCGTCCCGCGCTGAAAATCAGTTGTCTGGTCCAGGCGCATCCAGGAACAAGGGGGTACGCAACGGCGATCCCTATCTCTCTCTCTTCTCTTTTCTCTCCCCGGCTCCCTTTCTCTCTCTCTCTCTCTCTCTCTCTCTCTCCGTGTCCCTCTCTCTCTCTCTCTGTCCCTGTTCGCGGAGAAGAAAATAACGCTGGCATACGGGATATTACGCGGCGCGGATGTTAACGTCCGGCTGTATTTTTTTGCGGGGTCGCGAGGTCCTGGGAGAGGGCAGGGACCCGGGACATATAGCTCTGTCAGATAGCGGAATGCTGTAAATCTGTGCATTATACATGACAGCGAGATCAGCGCCATTCGTTATTCCGGCGCGGGGGCGGCGCACGGGGGCGCAGAAAAAGGGGGACGTGAAAAATTACTGGCACGGCCGGCACTTACCGAAACGAAGCTTTCAGGGAGCATCCGCCTGTGGAACACTTGCCAGGAGACCGGTTTGCGGAATTGAAATAATCGGTACGCACGGTGCATCGAACCGCGCGCGCGCGAGTCCGCCTGCTCGGAAATACAAATTTTTAGCATTTTCTATCTTTGGATCGACCCGGATGTTCCGGCGATATCGTCGAACATAGGGAAGCAAGTTGCCGCCTCCGGAAATATTTCCCGGAAATCGATCCACACGTCTGTGCATTTCTGCGGATAATTGTCGCGACGATTTCTGGAAAATCCGTTTAATTTTAGACGCCTCCGAAACAGTTGGAACATTTCCGTCGCGATGGCAGAAACTGTTTAGATTTAACGATTGATACGCTCACTCTTTACGGCGACTCCCTTGAAATTGACTTTTTCTCCCGAATTTTCTTTCGGACGTTTTATTCGGCTTAGTTTTTATTTATAGTATATTCAACTGTTATATGTATGTCTAAATATATATGCGTATTTAAATATTCATTATTTTTATACAGTACATTTAACTTCATAGCGGTCCAAGGTACACCGCGAGGGCTTTGCTCCGTTGAACTTTTAATCCTTTTCGATTTTTGTTCCATAACAGAGCGAAAATTTGCAGCTCCGCGGGGCTCGTCACGCTCCTTCGACTTTCGTGATTACGTTCGACATTTCCCGACCGGTCCGCACCCTGCATCCCCTAAACTCGTCGTCAGGCTTCATCTAACTTGCGAGAGCGACCATGCATGGCAAGCATGGCCGTTCCACGGCCACGTATAGCGTGCGCAATTATGAAACGAGAAAAGGTTATTTTAAGAGTCTGCGACTTATGCGCGCCCGTTAAAGGTTATAGGTTTCTATTCAATATTAAAGTGGCTCTCTCTCTCTCTCTCTCTCTCCTCTCTCTCGATGGCAGACGATGCACGCGCGAAGGGTTGGCCGAGGAATAGAGGGTTCGAGTTAACAGACCGCGGCTGAAACACAAACGCCGTCGGCGGAGAACGTCTTTATCTCCTGTGGAAAAAAGCTATATGGAGGGCTATAGAAAGTCGAGTGGTCGCGTAATTCGAAACTTGACGGAGTCAGGGGTGAGCTGCCGGTGGTTAGGGGGGCGGTCTCCTGGCATTGGACCAATGACATGTTGTTCGATGCACGCCGCCGAACCGAACAATAAGCGCGCTGTACGTGGACTGTTTCCAATAATCATGACGAACGTTGATATTACCATCCCTTCTTTCCATGTCCCTGCGACTTACGCGAAACAACCCCTTATCGTCGCGCTCCGGCGAGTTCAGTCGATAATGGAGCGAACGCTTGCACGTATCTTGTCCTTCGAATATCCGCGCTTAAAACAGCATCTTCTCTAGAATATTCAATCTTTCTCGGTCATTAGCGATCCGCGAATTGACCAGCTGTCTCGGATTCTCCAGAATTAACCGTTGCGAAAATGCTCGGCATCGTTATTTTTATGCTCGTGAATAATTCCGACGAACGCTACGCGTTCTGCATCTTCGATCATCGAAATAAGCTTTTAGGAATGTTTCGTTTATCCGGCTAGAACGAACGATCGCGCAGTAATATTCAATGCTTCGTCGCTCGAACTTTCTTTTTTATTAGGATCGATCGAGATTTCGCCGTTCTCGGTAGGACAGAACATTGTTCGTTTGCTTGATAAAAAAAAACGATCGCTGACGATATTCGACGATTGCTAGCTGAAATCGAAGCCGCTTGAAGCGTCGCGTCAGCAGCGACGAGGGTTAAATCGATGCGACGATTTTTATAAGGAAGGAGCGCAGGGTGCGCGATAGATAAACGGCCGCGCCCAATGAAACGGCGAAGGTGGTTTCGCGGACGGTTTAACGACGGACCGAGCAACAAACTGGCGAAGAGTTTCGCGCGGCGAATTGCCGGCCGGGAGTTTAACAGGATTTTAAGCTGCACGGAGCGTTGCAGTCGGTGCAACGGTCGGTATAATGCGGAAAACGCAGAGCCCCGCCGCGGATCGTCGACGTCGTTACCGGTTTCCGCGGTGCTCGTGCGCGCTCGACATAATAAAAACGATGTCGAATAAACTTTTTATCGGCTTGTTAATTTTCGAGGCGGTGCGAACCGTCGGTCGCGATTCGCTTTCCGAAACAATTCCGCGCTATCATTGTTCCTTTCATGGCCTCGGGGCTAATGTTATTTATTCAACGACGCGTCGAGCGAAATCGGGAAAGCGAGAGAGAGAGAGAGAGAGAGCGGGAGAGAGGAGAGAGTTGCAGAGGGGGTAAAAAGTTGACACGCAAACTGCTACGGATCCCCGGGGGTCTGGGGGTCCGGCGGTGTCCGGGGGTCCGGTGGAGGAGGAGGAGGAGGAAGAAGAGGCAAGGGTGCAGTCGGCTGGCCGTGCAAAATCCGAACGAGCGAATTGAACGTGCAGGTGTCCGTAAATAAACTTGCATCGAGTTTGTGCAGCAAACCGTTGCACGTAAAGGGTAGTTACGCTCTCGCGGGTTCCTCTCCCACAAAGGTTCCCTGTTTTCCCGACCCGCGGCCGATTTTTATTTCGGCCGACTCTCTCTCTCTCTCTCTTTCTCTCGCTGCTCCCCCATGACTAGGTGCAGCCTGTCGTCTTTGGCCTGCATCGTTTCACGTAATTACACCTCGTTTCACCGTCTAGCAGACTTTTAATACGATCGTCCTACGGTGGCTATTTCGGTTGCTCAGACTCGACCCTTAAACGCTTGGCTCCCCGTTAAATCGCTACTGAAACTATCGTACCCGAACTCGAAGCACCGTTCGCTTCGATCGTTCTCCCTTAGCTCTCTGGATTTTCCTAGAAATTCGATCGACGTTTGATAAATCATTCTCGAAGTTATCGAATCGCATCCGAGCTCAAAGTCTGTTTACATCAACCCGTTTTCGGTGGGAATAAACTGTTGCTATTTTGTCATCAAAGGATCACACGAACGTTACACCAATTACACGAACAACATCGTAGCGAGGAATTCGGAGATAAAAGGGAGGAAAACGGTTTTCTCTCCAATCTCTTAACCGTGTGGGTGAATCTTTCAGCGCAAGTTCTTCCGAACTGATTCCAGAACGTCCGACATTTCTAGATATTTTAGATATAATCTAACTATTGATTGTACGAGACGAAAATGGTAATGTTTCTATATACGGCGGGGCGTGCTCGTCGTTCCCAGATAAGAGTTTAATCTCGCGCTTTGACGAGGCACCGTCGGGGACACCGGGAGGCAGGGGAATGATTCCAGAGAAATTCACGAAGCAATCAAGTTCCTCCGGAGAAGGTCTCGCGGCGGACGGAGGAACCGGGGGTCTCCCGGCAGTATCGTTACGATTCGAATATTTCCTTATCGTATCGTGTGTCGGCCGTGTGTCGGGGCTGGAATCGATCGTCGGCCGTCGCTCGTCGCACGGTTTTTGCGTCGGTAGCGGCAGTTGCGCGAACGAAATAAGCGAGATAAGTAAGTCCCGGGGTCGTATTGAACGGTCGGCGTTATTTGGTTGCAGGGTAGTTCCAGTCGAGGCGGGGTTCATATGGAATGGCATCACGTGGACCGTCGCCGACGACGCTGCCAATCGCGATAGCGATGGCCGTCGCGATGTCAGTGGTGGCGAGCGGTCTCTGTCCGACGCAGTGCCGTTGCGACGACGAGAGCCTGCGCGCGTCCTGCGCTTACGCGGGCCTCGAGGTCGTCCCGATCCAACTGAACCCGGAGATCAAGCACCTGGACCTGTCCAACAACCGCGTGGCCAGCATCCACCTGTCGTTCGGGTTCTACGGTAACCTGGAGACCCTGGACCTGACCTCGAACAACGTGCACACCCTCGGCTCGGACAACTTCGTCTTTCAGAAGAGCCTGCTGGTGCTGAACGTCTCCGGGAACGCGATCAGGGCGTTGGCCAAGAACTCGTTGCAGGGGATGGAGCTGCTGAAGGAGCTGAACCTGGCTAGCAACAACATCTCGGACATGGACGAGCAGGCGTTCAAGAGCACCAGCGAGCTGGAGGTTCTGAACCTCAGCGACAACTCGATCACCAGCCTGCCGGACGGTCTGCTGAAGAACCTGCACAAGATCCGGACGCTCGTGCTGAAGGAGAACTCGTTGCTGGAGGTGCCGACGGACAACCTGGCCCTGGCGCCTAGCCTGGAGAACGTCGATCTCTCCGACAACCTGATCCAGGAGCTTGACAGAGACTCGCTGCCCTCTCTGCCGTCGTTGGTCTCGCTGGACCTGGCGAACAACGTGATCAGGAACATCGCCGACGACGCGTTCGACCGTCTCCCGGATCTGCTGCATCTCAACTTATCGGGAAACAATTTAACCTCCGTGCCCACCTCGGCTCTGGCCAGACTGAACGTCCTCTCGAATCTGATCCTCAGCCGGAATCCTCTGGGCGTCCTCGAAGCGGTAGGCTTCCGGAATCTGTTCGAGCTGAGGAGCCTGGAGCTGAACGACTGCACCATCGGCAGCGTGCACGCCAGAGCTTTCGCCGACAACGTGAACCTGGAGCGCATCTCGTTGGACGGGAACCGGGGCCTGAAGGAGCTGCCCGCCAGGGTGCTGTACAGCGCCAGGTATCTGAAATGGGTCTCGCTGAGGCGGTGCAGCCTCTCGACCCTCCAGCCCACGCAGTTCCCGGTGGACGGCCTGTCGTTTCTGCGGGTCGGCGGCAACCCTCTGGTCTGCAACTGCTCGGTGCACTGGCTGTGGAACGTGATCAGGACGGAGGAGCGCAGGAACGAGTCGAGGCTGGAGCTGGACACCCACGACATCGTCTGCTCCGACGAGGAGTTCGCCGGGAAGCCGTTGATCGGGCTGTCCGAGGGCTCTTTGCGGTGCCGGCTGAGCCCCCTCTATTTGTCCCTGTCCGCGGCCGGCTGTCTGGCCGCCACCGCCGCCATCCTCGTGCTGATAGCGCACCTGACCAGGTCCAAGAGGAAGAAACGGCTGGCATACGCCGCGCCCAACCGACCCGAGTTCCTGGTCTACGTCGGCAGGAACAACGACGAGCTGGACAAGAACGCCGAGTCGTACAGCAGGCGGCTGCTGGCCAGGAACGAGGACACCACGCCCTACGACACGCCCCGCGGCAAGATCGGCCAGCGAAGCCCGCAGTCGCAGGACACGAACATCTACGAGACACCGAGGTACACCAGGACCAACAATCGCCGCGAACCGGAGCCCTATCAGAGGCCCGCCGAAGAGGGCGTCTACGCCGTCGCCGACGTGACGGATCTCCGGGACGAGCCGCCGGAAGTCCTCTCGCTGTATCGCATGCAGAGCCCTCCGCCCTCCGCCCCGCCGCGGTCCAATCTCCATCGGGTCGGCTACGGTTACGACTACGACTACGATTACGATTACGAACCTCCGCTTCCGGAGAAGCCCCACGTCGTGTTCGTCTGAACCGCGGAAACAACAGGTCCGGCGTCCGATAATACTGCTGCTACCGCTGCTGCTGCTGCTGCCGTTGCTGTCGGAGCTTTCGCGTCTCCGGAGGACACCGGCGACGCCGATCTCTCCTAGACCGCCGAGAATGGAGCGTAACGAGGGCTCCGCAGACGTTCAAGATTGCAGGAAGCGTAGATCGATATGTAATCCGTGTTTCAGCGGGGATTACCGAAGAAATTCTGAGCGGCGACCATCTCTACCGCCTGTAAATCTGCCGGCGCGACGGAGCGACGGCGCCGAGCCGGCCGCGAGCACGAACAAAATTGACCGGAGTTCGGAGAGCGGTGTTCTTCTTGCGGAGATCCTTTGGAAACGGTCCCGGGGCGCGATCAAATCCGATGTTCTTTCGTTGGAAGCGACTACGCCGCGTCGTCTTCGTTACAATTGTATCGCGAGCATCCACTTTTTTTGCAAGGATAGAACAGTTCGAACCAGCCTCGGGCACAAAAACCGTTTTTGTCTTTTCGCGAGAGACGGAAAAATTGCTCGTACAGCTCTTCCGAACGGCGAAAAGATGTATCGCGCGTTGATCTCGTGGAAAACTTCAAAATTGTCCGGAAAGTTTTTACATTTACTTCGATCGAAACAGTCTCTTTGTTCTACAGTTTTTTTACAAAATACATTCGACAAATGACAATTCGCGATCCACGGTAAAGAGGAGACACGATTATTCGAGTCTTGCAGCTCTCGTTTTTGAAATCGTTGACAATTCGTGACTGTAAAAACAAACCGCAAAGCACGAATAATCGCGTCTCCTCTTCCGAAACTGTCCATTTTTCTGTGCAATCTCAGCGTCGATAAGGGAGACATTACTGTAATTATTAACGAACGGATCGCCGTGTCGGAGGGGAGTGGTGATCGCGAAGAAGCCGTTCGCTGTTCCATCTACGTACTAATCGAATCCAACGAAATGAACCTTGGATATTGAAGCAATTGATATTCATGAGTACGTAATGGTCTCAGCCCCGTTGCCGCTTGTCGCGATCCCGGGGACAGGAAAGTTGGGATTTAATGAGGATCTGTTCTGACTGATTGCCCGAGATCGACCGTGATAAGGTAATCCCCCGCTCACCGAAAGTATCGATTACGTTCGTCCTCGTGGAGGAGCGAGACTGCCGGCCTCGTGTTCCTCCAAGTGCGAATCCCACGATTAGCCGAGGACACGGACACAAACAGAAGGTCTGCTCGTCCATGCGGTCGCCTTCCCGGTTTAGCGACCTCGCCCCGGTTAAGCGAAACCGATGCGCGATCCGCCGAGAGCTGGCTGGACCAAACGGCATTCTTCGCGTCCTTCGAACTCGAATCGACCCGCGCGTGAATTCATCGACGCCTGAACAGGTTTAGAAATTCGTTTGCACTTTAAATTTCGTTTTTATCGGAAACTGCTGATTGCTAAGATAAATTTGAACTGTTATATTGTAATATTAATAATAATTAATATATTACAATTATATTATATATGTTTATAATTATTAATATGTTAATATTATTAATAATAATATTATTATTTATATCATAATATTATACATATATTATTAGACCGAATTCTCCCTAATTCGCGCTCAGATTCTGTACAAAAACGGACAATTTGGGAAGAGAAGGCACCATTTCTGTGCGCAATCTGAGCGCGAATTAGGGAGAATTTACCGCATCCGCGAACAATCCGCCGTAAGTTGGACAACGTTACGGATGCCAGCCCGAGAAATTTCCAAAGAGTTAAACGGCGAGATTCCGCGGAGGAAGATCCGTGTTCCGTGCGGAAAAAAGAAGGATGTTCCGGCTGAAACGTTGGCAGCTGTCCAGCCAGCAGTGGCGTCCACGGTTCGAACCGCGGGATAGCGCGACGACGAATCTCGCGGTGTACGGCGATCGGCGACCGGCGGTCGGACGAGTTGAAAATGAAATGTCTTCCGAGATAGTTGACCCGCCGTAGGAGCAGAATGCATTTTCGCCGGGCGCGGCGGCGCAATCCGACGCGGAATGCAAATTGCAACGGCGACAGCGGGAGCGCGTCGGCCGCAGCCGGCCGGAGAGGGCCGCGAACGTATTTATTCCGGCGGATCCGCGTCGGATTCCGCTCGGCGCCGCGCGCGGAAACGCCGTAACGCGCGACGCGTTTCCGTGGGCGGGCGTTCGTTTCACGTTTAAACGTAGTGACAAATCAAATCAAAGCGGCGTCTCGTTAGTCCGTTTAGACCCTACTAGACTAGCGTACCAAGATTACTCTCTGTCTCTTCTCCTTCCTCCTCTTCCTCCGCGTCCTTCTATACGTCGCCGATCCTCCACAGCCGATCCTCTCTTTCACCCGTCTTTTGTCCGAACGTCTCTCGCCCGCTTCCGCGGCAACGAATCTTTTTTCCGTCTCCGATTCGAGAGCGCGATATACATTCCGCTTCGGAATGCGAAGCGGATCGAATGCGAATCCGAAGCGAAACGATTTCCGCGCGACACAGTCGGCTACCTCAAGCAAGGATTAACGAGAAACGAGTTAAAGGAGCCGCTGTCTCCGCGGGGCCGGGGCTAAACGCTGTCACGTTAACATTATTATTTAAACGTATTCACCGTAGTGCGAAGCTATTGTAAATTCTCCCTGATTGGGACAATTTGGGGAGAGGAGATACGATTATTCGAGGCTCGCGGCTCGTTTTTATAGTCACCGATCGTCAACAACGGTACAAACTAGTCCATAAGCCTCGATCAATCGTATCTCTCCTCTTCCGAAATTGCCCATTTTTCTGCGCAATCCGAGCGCACAGTCAATTAGGGAGAATTTAGCGTATTCGCGGGAGCGTCGCCGTTGAAACGCCCGGATTTTCAAGTGTTCCCTCCCGCAACCGTGCGTCGCCGTAAACCCCGTTTTAATTGACCGGTCCCCACAGGCTTTCAATTGATTACCGGAGGATGCAGCATGTGCGACCGTTTCAATCGACGCATTACCGCGATTGCTTTTAAAAACGGCTGTCCCCCGGGCCAGCCGTAATTCCACACTTTCGGGATCCGTTGCCCGCGGGCTCGAACGGTTCGGGGGAAAATTCGGGCGTCGTTCGTCTTCGACGATTATATAGCCTCTGTACACGGTGTTCCCTCGGCAATCCGATCGCGATAACGCTCCCGATAACGCTCGCGTTAACTCCTGTACGCCACCATTTTTCTTCGCGTTCGTGTCGCTAAACGCGGCCCTTTAAACCGTACACCGCTTGTAAAACGGAACGGAATTCTATTGATTTCCAAAAGGAATCGAGACACGTAATTTCGCAGCGAAAACTCTACGATTTCTCGTGTAATTATCACGTCGAGTCATGAATAACTCTCTTATTTATATTCTATTATAATATATCTTATATATTATATTATATCTTAATATTATAATCTTATTATAATAATTCTCTTATTTTATCAGATTTTTTCGACCGGCAGAGTTTTCGTTTCGTTTACTCTTTCGTTTCTCTTTTTATTTATTCACTTCGAACTCTTGTTCGTTCGGCGAAAGCCGAAAATCTCGTTTGTTCCGGCGTCTCGTAGCCGGATAGACGCGAACAATAGATTCCACCTGGCAGCATCGGGTGCGTTATTTACAAGGTTTAACGCGCGAAGAGGCAGAAAGGAAGACACCGTCGTGACAGCAGTTAGACCCGCGCCCTTAGGCGAACGGGTTCCTCCGTGCAAGACATATTCAAGGGAGCAAAACGACACGTGTCAGAGACTCGTCGTGGGCCAGAGGGTGCCCCGTTTGGCACCGAGGGGGCCACTTTCGGCCATCGTTGTAAATTGAAGCAATAATAGACGCGACCTTTACCATGTAGACACACCGTGAAAACACACGTAAACACACACGAGCACACGAGAAACACATCTTAGTATATCTAGACACCAGAATCACACACACGTTTATACAGACTTAAGCGTATATATATATATAAATAATATATATATATATTATATATATATTTATTTATTGATTTATGATGTTAAGTTTGGAAAGAAAAGAATGTTACGTTTTGAATACGATAAGCGAGAGAGAAAGAGTGAGAAAGAATGAAAGAGCAGAGAAGCAGATATACTTGAGTGCGTCAGTGTCGAAGGGTGATAAAGTCTGCGCCCATCGGTGCATCGGGTGTTCCGGAAATTCCCATTTCTGCCCGAAAAAGTCTCTTCTATAATTGAGACCGTGTTCGATCGTTTCGCGTAAAATCCGCCCTTCGAAAGTCTTCTTAGCAGACACGTTAAAAAATTAAATTACTTTCTCGAGTGGTCTCAACAAAATTCAATGTCTTTTTCACCCTTCGCAAAAGGAACAGATCCGTTCGATAATTGTCCACTAACGGTAGATTCAACGACACCGAAACGAGAACGGTTCTCGGAAGCGCCGCTTCGATCGATCCTGCAAATTTAATGTCCAAGAGCAAAGGAAAACTGGATTAACGTCCCGGAGTCGTTCATGCTACGATTTTTAAATAGTACGCGAAGGGGGTCGATCGAGCCGTCGGTGTTTCATAAAAATGTATACGGGAGTTTTCGGGACACCCTGTACAAGTACGGGCGAGTCGCGGCTTCGAATTCGCCTGGTGGAACGGCATGCGAGGGTGTCGCGGAAACGATGAGAATCATTAGGCGAACTCGCGGGTCGCGACGCGCGACGCCCATCCCGTAATCCGCCTGCGTGTGTCTCGCCGTCGAGCGCCTCCTCGAAACGCATTTTCACCCCTCGCCACCCCCTCCCCCACCGCCTACCCAGCCCCATCTCTGCACTCGTCGGAAATTTCATGGAATATCGAATCCACGCTGATTAAAGTCTCTCCCTGCGCGGCGCGCGCGGTTCTCCCCGAGGAGAAGTTCGCCCGTTAAATATTCATTTCGACGCGATAAACCTCTGCCCGCAAGAACCTTCGCTCTCTCTCTCGCCGCGACGGATCTCGATAGGATCTCAGGAGTTATGACTCCCGGGTCCCTTGGTCAGAATGATTATCTTCGATTGATAGAGCCCTCTAACACGCGGCCGCCACGCGAGCCATGCTCGTTTTACGGTCCCGCGATCTCGCCCGATATCTCTCGCGGGCCTTGTTAATATTCATTTTCCCGGGAAATCGAAGGTCTTCGCCGTTCTTCGAACGATATTGGTTCTCGTCCGCGCGACGTTTCGAGAGGAATTGTCTCTCGGCGAGCAGAATCCGCGTTGTTGCACGGAGAAACGAACGACCGAAACGGCTGCTAATTTGTAAGAACGTTTCGACTTCTCATTTTCCAAGGAGATCGAAAGTCCCTACCGAACATCGAAGCTCGAACACCGCGTGCTCGGAGAAGAAGAGCGTGTATCCAAAACGAGATCCAGCGTTTCAATGTACATCCGATGTTCCAAAAGAAATCAAAAGGTTCCCGTTGCATCGCAGGCGGCAGAACGTTTCGAATCGAGCGACCGTTCCGTTCCGAGAAGCGAATTACCGGCATTGCCCGATAATTCGTCCGAGATTTTCGCAACGAATCCAGCAATTGGCCAGGAACACGCCCATCCCCCCGAGTTCGAACGGCTGGCCGAACGCGGCGCTCGTTTAATTTACGCGATCGTTTAACCCCCGGGCCGAGTCCAATAAAAAATTGAAGCGGCTAAACGGGAGGATGAATTATTCGTGCCACCT